AAATGTCTTCTTCAAGGTCACCATGAAGAAAAGCAGTCTTTACATCCAGCTGCTCCAAATGCAAATTTTCAGCAGCAACGATACCAAGGATCAACCTGATAGTAGTCATCTTCACAACCGGAGAGAAGATTTCATTGTAATCAACTCCTTTCTTCTGTTGGAACCCCTTGACAACTAGCCTCGCCTTGTATCTTTTGCTCCCATCAGCTTCATCTTTGATTCTGAACACCCACTTGTTCTCCAAAGCTTTCTTTCCCGGTGGTAGCTTGACTAAGGACCAAGTTTGGTTCTTCTCAAGCGAATCTAACTCATCCTCCATGGCCTTCTTCCACTGTATGGAATCCTTCACGGTCAGCGCCTCTGAGTAAGATTCTGGTTCTCCATTCTCGGTCAGCAACAGGTAATTTGCTGAAGGAGAATATCTGTTAGGAGGTCTTCTGATTCTGGTGGACTGTCTGACTTGAGGAGTAGCTGCCTCTGAATTTTCACCATCTTCATCACTCCCACTATTTTCAGACATCCCTGTATCTCCTGAGCTCCCACTGCTCCCTGAACCTCCAGTCATCTCATCACAACCAGCAGGTTGTGCTATGTCGTCTTCAGTCATCCCGTCAAACACCACTTGTTGCTTGTTTTCTGGTTGCTTGGCTTTGCTAGTTTCTGCTGCAAGACCATCTTTATACAGGGCATTCTCGTTGAAAGTGACATCTCTACTTCTGATAACCTTCTTGCTGTGGTTGTCCCAGAACCTGTAGCCCATGTCATCCATCCCGTACCCAATAAAGATACACTTCTTTGCCTTTGCCTCGAGCTTGTCACTGTCTGCATCTCTAACTTTGACATAAGAAATACAACCAAACACTTTCAAGTGAGTAAGAGATACCTCTCGACCTTTCCATTCCTCTTCTGGAATTTTGAAACCTATGGGAGATGAGGGTCCTCTGTTGATCAAGTATGCTGCTGTGTTCACCGCATCTGCCCAGAACATCTTTGGAAGTCCTGCATGCAATCTCATGCTCCTGGCCCTCTCATTCAGTGTTCTGTTCATCCTCTCTGCAACACCATTTTGCTGTGGTGTTTCTGGAACCGTCTTCAGCATTCTGATCCCCTGTTCAGCACAATACTCTACAAACTCTGTGCTACTGTACTCACCCCCATTATCACTCTTTAAACACTTAATCTTAAGATTCGTTTCATTCTCTACTGCAGCTTTGAACTTCTTAAAAGTGTTAAAGACTTCAGATTTATTTTTAAGAAAATAAACCCATACCTTCCGTGTAGAGTCATCAATGAATGTGACATAGTAGCGGGAACCTCCAATTGAAGAGACCTTTGTAGGTCCATAGACATCTGAATGAATCAACTCTAGCCGCTCAGTCTTCGGTTGTTGCCCCGTCTTTACAAAGGTTACCCTCTTTTGTTTGCCTAGAACACATGGCTCACAAAAGCTCAACTTTGAATTCTTCAAATCTGGGATTTTGCCCTTTGAAGACAGCATCTTCATTCCGTTCTCACTTATGTGCCCAAGTCTTTGGTGCCACAAAGTAGAGACCCCTGTATCTTCAACTGCTGCGTTTGCCCCATCTGTGGACACTTCAACCATGTACAGTGTACCATGCTTCTGCCCACGAGCAATGACCAGCTTTCCCTTTGTCACCTTCCATTGTTTGTTGCCAAAACTAACGTTATGGCCTTCCTCATCAAGCTGTCCAACTGAGATCAACATCTTCTTCAGGTCTGGAATATACCTCACATCTTTCAGCCTCCAGGTTGTACCCAAAGTGGTACTGAGATCAACATCCCCAATACCCGTGATCTCCAGGGATTTGTCATCCGCCAAACGAACTCTTCCGCTGTAGGGCCTGAGATTTTTCATCAAATCCCTGCAATGACAAGCATGAAACGACGCACCTGAATCCATGATCCAGGACTCAACTGAATTCTCAACGCTGCAAATTAGAACATCTTCATAATCCTCTGCCACGTTCACCTCCTTCTTGCCTTTGTCTGCAGGGGGTTTTGGGCACTGATTTCTGAAGTGTCCATTCTCTTTGCAATTCCAACAATTGATGTCCTTCCGGTTCTTGGATTGCCCTCTCTTTCTCGACTTCGATCTTCCCTTCTTGTTACCTCCTCTAGTGGATTTTCTGCCCCTATCTTCAGTACTCAACAAACTGTTGGAGCTATCCCCCGAACTCCTCCTCCGGATATCCTCACCAAGGATTAAGTCACGAATACCTTCAAAGGTAAGCTTAGTGGTTCCAGATGAACTACTAACCGCTGTGACTGTACCGGACCAACTATCGGGCAAAGATGATAACAAAAGTAACGCTTGGACTTCATCATCGAATTTAATCTCAACCGAGCCTAACCTGGATATGATTGAATTAAACTCGTTGATGTGATCTGTCACGGATGCACCTTCCTTCATTCTTGTATTCACCAACTGTCTAATCAAGAAAACCTTGTTTGCTGCTGAGGGTTTCTCATACATGTTGGATAACGCCTTGAGCAGTCCATATGTTGTCTTCTCGTTGACGATGTTGTAGGCAACGTTCTTCGCCAACGACAACCTCACCACACCAAGAGCCTGTCGATCCAACAAATTCCATTCCGCTTCCGTCATCGTTTCTGGTTTGTTCTCAGACAACGGTTGATGAAGCTTCTTCTGGTAGAGATAATCCTCGATCTGCATCTTCCAGAAAGCAAAATCTTGGCCATCAAATTTATCGATCTTAACCTTCCCTTCGTCAGCCATAGCTCTGATACCAATTGTTACGATTAGGCAAAGATAAACGATAAATTAAGAGCAAGAACACAAGAATTAACGTGGTTCACGCAATCGGGGTGATTACGCTAGTCCACGGCGAACGAGAGAGAGTATGTATTATTATCAGCGTCCCCAAGAGGTTTACAAGTACATAAGAGTCGTTTAAATAGGTTTAGGAAAACCTAAACTGAGATTAGAGCCGCAGGCCCAAAATTAAGCCTGTTTTTAAAATTCCCGTCGACTGACCCGGTCGGGTCTCTTATTTGACCCGGTCGGGTCTCCTTCACAGAACATCACACCCGGGTAGAAACCAGGTCGGGTTTCCAAAACAGAAGGCTTCTGCCTTGCTGACCCGGTCGGGTTCTTCACCTGACCCGGTCGGGTCTCCTTTCCAGTGAGCTCCCCAGGTCTCTGCTTCAACATACCCGGTCGGGTCCTTCATCTGACCCGGGCGGGTATCAGTTCTGAAATTCTGAACAAGACTCCATCTTCAACATTACAAAGTATTGGTCATTTGTTGATCATTAATGAGATTTTCTTTTAAGCTTCCTTTTAAAACCGTTGCTAGCTTTAGTCTTCATTAAAGCATATTTATAACCATGCATGACCAACGTTGCTATCTGCTAGCAACGTACGTTTTAATACGAAGTGTATATATTTATATATACTTATTAGCATGGGACTAAGTGGGAGAGGTTCGATTGATGGAGTACTAGGCTACTAGTTCATATAGATATTCAGATCATCTACCGAATTATAATCCCGATATATACATAATATTTTCAAACTCTTGGGGAAAGGTTATCGCTAGTCGGAAATACTTTCTTGAGGACAGCGTTTACGCGACTCGAGCTATATTATTTTTCCAACGCTTTTTTACAGGCTTATCCGGCTAATTCCTCCAACATATGTAACTGAGGTATTTTCTAATTCAAATTGGTAAAGAATCAAAATTCCTTCATCTTGATAATGAGTTTGTTGAAACAAAACTAACTAACCCATCTAGTAAAGTTCTACCTTTGTACTCTAACAAATACTCAAGCGCACCAGATATTTAATTATCCATAATTATCCATATATTTAATTATCCATAATTATCCATAATAAATAGTGCTCACTAAGCCTTCTTCATTATAAATTAGAAGGCTAACTCCACATGTTTGTAAAAAGGTTTTCAAATCAAGAGGACTTCAAACACATTAAAAAGTTTAAAGAAAAAGTGTTGAACATTGACTACATTTTCTTAACTACATGCAAAACATGTAACAAATTAGCAATTGGGCAATACGTACACCTGCCCAACATGGAAACGATAAAAGGAAAAACTAATAAATAATATACTAAAACAAACCCCTAACATACAAAAATATTTTATTTAAAATCGTATACCTTCTCTAAAATTAAAGCATAAAATTGGAATTGATATGAGTTAATGGGAAGTCTATGTGTTGTGTGCCTACGACAATTTCATACTATGTACATAGTATTTTATAAATTGTGATTAAATTATACAAATCTAATGCTGTTTAGATGTATTTTACCCAAATAGTTACCCTTATCCCATTGCATACGGGGGGGCTACTGCAAGCACATACGACTAATATGAGTTCTTTGCATTTGGAAAACATGTTTGATGTGTGTTTAAATGTACTCCCCCGGTAATAATAGTAGGTATTATTTTAATTTTCCCATGATTTCAAGAGTAAAAGGTCCATTTGGATTAAGACTTTTTTTATGAGATGGTCAATCATTCGATACACATTGTTTATAAAAATATATTCATGATGCAAGTGTTTCTCAAGGTATGGTCGAACTATATGAATTAATATTGTGATTATTTAATATTGTGCGAAAGGTTCTCACTTTTCTTATTTGAGTGTCCCATTTAAAGGTTCTTAATCCATTTTAACAAATAACTTCTCTCCATAAACATATCTTACTCAAATTTCTCTTTCCTACTCCTTAGGAGTTAGTACATCCACGAATTTTTTTAGGATCATCTTGGTAATGTGAAAGATCCTTTTTTAGATTATTTTGAAAGATTATTTAACTAAAAATTCTGGTATTAATTATTGAATCCTAAATTATTCAAGATTATTTTCAAATTTCAATGAACATTTGCGCCCATGTACATGTTTATTTGAATTTTGCTATAGGTACCCCCAAACCCTACCCCATTTGTACCCCATATAAAAACACAGCCCCACTTTTCTTCTCCCCTTTTCCCTCTCTTCTGCACCCCACCTCTCTTCCTCCCTCCCTCCCTCTCCTCTTTTTCACGCACCCCCCTCCCTTCCCCTTTCTTCTCCATTTCAATATCTTTCTCCTTCTTTAAAACTTCCTGTTTTTATCATCACCCCCCCCCTCCAACCTCTGATCTTCTCCTGTTTATCCCCTCTTCCACCGGTGACCTTGCCGACGGCGGACCTATGTCGGTTTCCATTTCGGATGCAACCTCAAGGGAAGACAACAATGAAGACATACCAAGAAGCTTTGAATAACTTGAGCAACATATCTTCTTTTCTTGATTTTGTTTTCTTGATTTTTGATGTATTTTGGAAATAAAAGGGGTTGTCTGTCTGCCAGACAACTTGAAAGTGCAGTGTCTGTAAGAGTCGTGAAGTTGTCTGTCCTTTGAAAAATAAATGTCTGTAATTGATATTTAATTGTTTGTCATTTGTTTATTAGTTGTCTGTATTTGTTTTGAGTTGTCTGTAATGACTTGTTTGCCATGTTGTTGTAAGGTGTCTGTAAAAGTCGTGAAGTTGTGTGTAACTCATATTTAGTTGTTTGTCATTTCATTGTGAGTTGTAAGTAATTTGTGGTGAAAAATAATGTCTGTCTTGTTATCTTTATTGTCTGTCTAGTTATATGTATTGTCTGTCTTTTTTATGAAACATATGTCAAAATGGTAATTCACAATAAACTAATGTATGTATGTGTATACTTATGTCTGTATGTGTATATTTAATGTCTGTCTCGTTATACTAATTACATCTCAAAAAATAAACATCACAAATTACATACAGACAACTCAAAACAAATAAAGACGACTCAAATTAAATGAAAAACAATTAACCATCAATTACAGACAGACAGACACTGCACTTACAAGTTGTCTATCAGACAAACAACCCTTTTAATTTCGAAAAAACACCAAAAAATCAAGTCTCCCCATGTATCCAACTCAAGTCATTCAAAGTTTCTTGGTCTACACCTTCACTATTGTCTCCCCATGTATCCAACATCACCGGAGCTCTCCCCGTTCGTCCGATTACTGTAGCTTGTGCATTTGAAATGAATAAAAAAAGACAGAAGAGGAGAGAAGCATTAGAAGAAGCTTGGAGGGGGGAAAGATGGAAAAAATGAGAAGTATTAATGAAGGGGGGAGATCTTGAAATGGGGAAGAAAACAAGATTTGGAGAAAAGAGAAAGGAAGGGAGGGGGTGTGGGGGGTGCGTGAAAAGAAGGAGAGAGGGTAGGAGGAGAGAAGAAAAGTGGGGGAGGGTGGAAGGGGAGAAGAAAGTGGGGGAGAGTTTTTATACGGCGTAAAAAATGGGGTAGGTTTGGAGTAACTGTAGCAATTCTGTGTTTATTTTCACTTGAAAAGCATTGAAAACTGTCTTTTATTTTCACTTGTTGATGTACATGTTTCGTACACTTATAAAAGCTCTTAACTAGAGTTTTTGGACGGAACCGCTGAAATGAAAAACACTGCAAATAGGAGAGTTTTGGGTTAGCGTTTTGAAAAATGACGTTTTGTATTAATTTTATGGCCAAACAGCTAAATTACCAAACATCTTCTAAAAATCCGCCAATTTTTTTCCGCTGGTCAAACCCGCTAATTGAATCCGCTATTAACAACCCGCTAACATAATCTGCTATCCGCTAACCGCTAAATGACAAACACGCCCAATAGGAATTAAGGAATAAATTGATAATTTAATTTAACTTGTAACGATATGTTTTATTAAAATGTAAATACTCCTTACGTTTGGAACAATTAATCACTTCCTTTTCTTGGGCCATTTAATGTTACATTAATTTAGTGGGTATAATTTTCAAATATGGAATGTAGTAAATGTACTACGTTTAATTTGGTGTATCTATTATTTGTAATTGATATCAATTATTTAATTTTCAATTGTACTGAATAGCAATATTTAATTTACCAATTGGATTCAATAGCAATTGATTGAGAATTCAATTTCAATTGGAAGGGTTCTACTTTATTATTAAGTAAGTAGATAGATGGTTAAATACTCCTAGAAAAACAATTATTGGGCGTGTTTGTCATTTAGCGGTTAGCGGATAACAGATTATGTTAGCGGGTTGTTAATAGCGGATTCAATTAGCGGGTCTGACCAGCGGAAAAAAATTGACGGATTTTTAGAAGATGTTTGGTAATTTAGCTGTTTGGCCATAAAATTAATACAAAACGTCATTTTTCAAAACGCTAACCCAAAACTCTCCTATTTGCAGTGTTTTTCATTTCAGCGGTTCCGTCCTATTTGCAAGGGTTCTACTTATTATTAAGTAAGTAAGGGTTCTACTTTATTATTTCAATTGTTTACTCTTTCTAAACAACATGATGAGAATTGAATTTCCCAGCTTGTTTCCCACGGAGCAGTATACAATTCTTATCTTCTTGAGTCGATAAGCATATATGGTTCTTACTTCTTAGCTTTTCCGGTTATCATGAGCTTATGCTTCCTCTATTCAAATGTAAAGCCTTTGACATCACTAACAGAACTCGGTTTCCGATCATTTCTCAAACCTACCGGGCAGCTCCGATTCATCAACCAGCGGCGAGCAAATGACGTTTTCTGTGGTTCCATTAGAGCTGTTGAAGAGGGAAGCGAACACTTAAACGCGGACAGTACCGTTCCCGTTCGCATTCCGCTGATTGAGACAGTAAGTGAAGATGGATTGGAGGATTTTGACGAAGGGTTCAATGTAGCTTCAAGTATCGAAGCAGAAGAAAATGCTCAAAGACCGGCGTCGAAGAGGACTCAGAGAAAGCAAGGACGAGAGATTGAAGATAAAGATGAGGTTGGTGCTGTTTATTCTGCATCACAATTTTTCAAATTTCCAGTTTTACTTAAAAATCTTCATAACTTTGAAATGAATATATTCAACGTTTCCACACAAGCTGAGAACAAAAACACTCACACACAAACAAATTTGATGAATTACTTTGAGCAAAAGTTGTAACATCATGAGTGCACTTGTTTGCTAAATCGCGGAAAGTCTAGGGTTTTGAAGAGAAAGCCTACATAGTAGGAGTTGCGTGCAAAAGCAGTACGGATGATTCCTTTGGTATAGAGGAATCACTGAAAGAGCTGGCCCAACTGGCTGACACTGCTGGACTAGTGGTTGTTGGTTCTACATATCAAAAGTGAGTAGAAACTTGAATTTATTTCTAATTCACTTCTAGCAATTCTGTTTCTTTAGTAAAATGGACTACGGTGATTAGCATATATTTGCATATTGTTGGTTGGCTCGATTGTTTTTCAAACTTCTGATGCTTCTTCCTTCTCATTTTGCAGACTATCCACTCCTAACCCTAGGACATATATAGGGTCTGGTAAGGTCTCAGAAGTGAAGAGCGCAATCCATTCCTTGGGAGCTGAGTCTGTAATATTTGATGATGAACTTTCACCAGGGTATGGTCTAATAAGCTCAATTCATCTCTACCCCCTCCACCCCAGCATTTTCCGAGTTTCACATGTACTCAAAAAGTATTTTTATTTCCAATAGTGTGTCTGATTATTGAGTTCTTCAAGTAAGGCATGATCTTATCCGGCTTTGTATGTGGATAACAGTCTATTTTCATTCTGATTTTTTCTCATAAAAATTAACTGGTTATAGTTCTTACTTTTTACCAACTAGACTCATTTATCATGGTCCACATTACAGGCAGTTGCGAAACTTGGAGAAATCTTTTGGGGCAGATGTCAGAGTGTGTGATCGTACTGCTCTCATACTGGATATATTTAACCAACGAGCAGCTACTCGTGAGGCTTCACTACAGGCAAACCATTTTGTGATTGATTGTAGTCATCATGCAAAATATCTACATCTTCTTAGCCTCACAAAAATAAATCTCTCAGGTTTCATTAGCACAAATGGAGTATCAGTTACCTCGGCTGACAAGAATGTGGACTCACCTTGAGCGTCAAGCTGGAGGGCAGGTCAAAGGTATGGGTGAGAAACAAATTGAAGTTGACAAGCGTATATTGCGTACTCAAGTAAGTAATTACTTGTTTATGTTTTCGTGTGTGAGTAATTTATTGGGAATACATGTTATATTGTAGCTTTTTCAATTTTAACCCTTTGTTTTACCTTTCTTAAGTAATACGGAGTATATCTTAACATACTGTAACAGTGTATAAGCATTAAAGTTACAACCCAAATTATGTATTTCAAATTACAAGCTCACTGTATATTATTAGATATAGGCTAGGATGCACGGAAACGTCAAACTCCCTCAAGTTTCCGTCCCAGAAACGTTTCGGAAACGAGAAACGCCAGGAAACGCCGGGAAACGGCAGGGAAACGCGGAGAAACGTTTCTGATGACTTGGGCTTTTGGGCCGGCTTGGGGAAACGTATCGGAAATGGGAATTCAATTGGGCCACGGCGTTTCTGGTTATTTTTCTCAAAAACAAGGTCGGTCAATTTGGAGCTGGGCAATTCGCGTTTTTTTAAATTAAAACTAACCTGCGACGCTCGCTTGTAGTCTGCGACTCTAGCATCACTCGACGGCAATTAAGGGCTTGAATACTGAAGCAACGCTGGTGACGACGGGAAACCTAATGCTGAACTGCTGAAGTTGGTGACCGGTGAAAGCCATCTGCTGGCCTGCTGCTGTCTGCTGCTCTACTTCGCTGGACGCGTGGGTTAAAGTGGGTCTGGGTAGTGCCGTATTAGCCTATTTGGGGAAGTTTCAGAATTTTAGATTCTTTAATTTGTGGTAAGTGCTTCCTATTGTCATTAAATATGGAACATACTGATGTTACTGGTAATTTGAGTGTGTTACACAAATTTGCACTTGTTAATTTATCATTGGAGAGTGTTTATCACTGAATGAAACATTTACTTTTTCATTTTACTTATTATGCATGTATGATGCATTATAATAAAGGGAATGTTTTGTTTACTTATTTCATAGTTGTTGGACGTAAACATTACTTATACTAGTAAAATTTTAATTTTTAGTTTGACGTTTCCTTGCCGTACCCGTATCTTGATATTTTGAGTTTAGAGTTTCCCCGTCCCCGTTTCCGTTCCTGTTTCCGTTTCCGTTTCCGTCCCGGTGCTACTTAGGATATAGGTATCAAAAAGTCACTAGTTTTGGCTTGGGAATATGATGGAATAAAGTAAAATGACTCAATAAACTGTCTGCGCTTCTTTGTTATGAAGCGGCAGTCAGTCCATGAGTCCATGCAATTTTTGACGCGATTTTAACTATGGGTCATCCGGAAACAGTCTCTCGGTGCTTGCTTTAGTACAGGGGTAAGGCTGCGACACCCGACCCCCCTTACCCCACCGTAAATGAGAGCCTTTGCGGCACTGGGGTAATGATGATGATGAGGTATCAAAGTACTTCCTGTTAACAGTAGAGAAACTGACCTGAAACAGTAGAGAAACTAAAACATGTTGGAAGTGCAAAAATAGGACCATGACGTTTCTGTGTCATCTTGTTGGTGTAAAGGTGAAGGTGAACTAAAAAAATGCCCTTATTTTAAAAAGATCATGTACTCCCAACCCAGTGAAGATGTCATCCTGCAACAAGAATGCCATCATGATGACATTATAATACCACTATCAAGCCAAATTACAAGCATCAAGTCGAATCGCAACAAAATAAATGTTCTCAATGGATATTTTGTTAGCAAATTAACTTGCTGAAAATACTAGTAAAAATTCCATCTCTAGTTGTAATAAATAGGCCATCTTGGTTGTCAATGTACAAAAAAAGCCATTTGGACTGTAGCATGTGAATTAATCTGAACATGGGAATTGAAAATACATCATCTCAACTAGTAATAAAAATGTCATCTTGATTGCCAATGTACAAACAAATGTCATCTTTACTATAGCACATGAATTAACTTGAAAAGGGGTATGTTAGATATTACACACATGTGACAAACTTTGACTAAGAGCTTATCAGTCCTAAAATGGGAGGAAAACATAAACTCTCCTATTGTGTCTATGCTTTAGTCCTATATAGGGCAGTTTCTTTAAACAGTATAACATATACACAGGGTTTGTTAACTTTGAAAAGTAAAAAAAATTCACAATTTGTAGTTATGACATTAGTATTGACAATTACACACATTATAATAAGTTAAAAGAGTATAACCAAACATATTATATGTTCTGGGTAAAAATATATATTTCATTAAAAAATTGTATTGTTGACAAACATTCTGTAAGAATTGCAAGAGTTGTATGTAAAATGAGATCCAGATTCTAAAAACCACACTTTCATTTTTTTCTTTCCGATGGCTAATTTTGTTGTTGTAAATTTTCTTGTTGAAAGATCGGTGTTCTCAAGAAAGAGCTAGAATCTGTTCGGAAGCATAGAAAACAGTACAGGAACCAACGCACCTCTGTTCCTGTCCCTGTTGTGTCTTTGGTATGATAAATTGATGACATGAAATTTAGTATGATCTGATTAGTCATGCTAATAGGATAATAGTATATATCAAGTAATTTATAGTAGCTTGATGCTTTAGGTTGGATACACTAACACGGGAAAGAGTACACTGCTGAACAGGCTGACAGGGGCTGATGTTCTTGCTGAGGATAAGTTATTTGCCACACTTGATCCTACGACAAGAAGGGTTCAGGTAATTACAGAGTAGAAGGAACATACATTTCTCCATACTACAATTGACGATTTGCATTAGTTTGAAAACCAAATCCCTGAAAAAATGTTGTCATTTCCCAATATTGGACTCACATTTGATACAACTTAGTAACAAATTGATCTTTTTGACGAAACTGTATTGTAATTTCTCCTTGGGATGATAGAAAGCATGCATAGCTTGAGTTGTGTTACTGTTTATGTGTGTGTAACATCCCATACTCGTTCTGAACACATTGAAGCACAGATGAACAATGCAAGAGAGTTTCTTCTGACAGATACAGTTGGGTTCATCCAAAAGTTACCAACTACGCTGGTAAACATCCACATTCTCCCATCAATGCTTCAACTTTTTAATCTTCCCGTGGCATCAAGGTCAGGTTTATATACTCAGTTTAAGTTATTTTTAAAATAATAGCCTTCACTTCTGGACATAGGTTGCTGCCTTTAGGGCAACATTGGAAGAAATATCTGAATCATCACTTCTGGTGCATTTGGTGGATGTCAGGTATGTACGTTTTCTATTTCTAAAGTTTAATATTAGCAACATTACATTATAAAACACTGATTTCTCATCATCTGTAATTACAAAATCTAGTCATCCACTGGCAGAGCAACAAATTGAAGCTGTGGATAAAGTTCTTTCAGAAATTGGTGCGTTTTTTATTCCAAAGCTGATGGTATGGAATAAGGTAATATTATCATTTGGGAATTGTTTATAAAGTTAATTGTTTTTTAGTAGCTGAAATCATTGTAGTACTTTTTTCCCTGCACAAGTAAAACTGAAAATAGGTTTATTGAGGGTCCCCCCTCCCTTCCCCTGTTTTTATTTTCTCATGTCAGTCTGGTTTGCAATACTGTTATATTACTAAAAGATGGAAAACTAGAGAAGAAATAGCTCTAAGTAAAGATATTTTGCTCTGTCCTTCAAATTGACATTCATGTTACTATAATCCTAACGAAGGACTATAAGTAGAAACTTGTTAGTGGCCCAAATGACAAAATTGGTCGCTTCAAAGATGAGGAGCAAAACTCGAAAAACACTATAGTCTAAGCACCTAGTGTATAGTTTTCTCTTACTTAAATAATCTTTTTCTACCGTGAAATTTATTTGCCAAAAGTAGGTGTCGTTTACACTTATTTTTTGCATTTGGCTCTTTTGATCCTTAAGATAGCTTAGTTAGGATACTGATGTGGGTTGCCCTTTGTATCTTCTTTTGTGGTTTAAACATATTATTGATCCTTTGTTTGGACCATAGTTTAATAAAACCACTGAAACTTGTAATGTCTGCATGCCTTCATCTTACTTCAATCCAAATCGTAGAATGATCAATGGAAGCTTCTGCTCAACAGGTTGATAGAGTTTCAGATCCAGAAAAGATCAAGTTGGAAGCTAAGAGAAGAAATGCTATTTGTATATCCGCTTTTACTGGTGAAGGGTTAGATGAGTTATGTAATGCTATTCAGGATAGGCTGAAGGTGAATAATAACCATTTTACTTTCCCTAACTATCATGGGGGAAATATTTTCTAGTTTATCATATTTATTGTTGTTTGCTGAGGGTTGTTTTGTCTTTACAGGATACTATGGTTTGGGTTGAAGCTTTGGTACCTTTTGACAAAGGGGAACTCCTCAGTACCATACATCAAGTTGGAATGGTTGACAGAACCGTAAGCAATTTTGCATTTGTGCAATTTTCTTTTGGCTTAAAGAGTTTCTTCCTCCCTGCAATTTTTGTTCCGGTCCTTGAATAATGCTCCCATTTCATCTGTTTTAAATTTTTTACTTCCATCACAATTCTGGTCCAGCTTTGCCACCACACCATTATTTTGGAAACATGTTTAATACTTCATTTTTCAGAGATAAAAGTAAAATTGGTCAAGGAATTTTGCTTAGCCCTAACTCATCTAATAATCACCGACCAAGTGTAGCAAATTGGCTTAAAGGCCAGACTTGAGTTCTATAGTTCATACTCTGTATGTTCTTTTGAATGAAGGGAATTGGAGAGGATTAAAAGAGAATGATGAATAACAAAAAATGAGAAATTTATGGGGACTTAAAACAAAAAACATGTTATATTTACAGAGTGATGGGGTAAGGAATCACCTAAACTGGTTCCCTAGAGTTTAATACTCAACCATCCCAAAAAGAGAAGTGGTTTTCCTTAAATATTAATGTATTGAAACTCGACTCAAAAAATGTGACTACATTCATATATGGACAAAAAAGTGACTTACAAGGTATGGAAATTGAAAAATTATGCATGTCATTGTCGGTTTATTATGTCATTGACAATTTTTATGTTATTGTCAGATTAGGGAGAAGAAATTTGAGTTCATTTGTAATTTGTCTTTGAAGTTTAGAAAAATGGGCACATTTTTGTTTTCCAAAGTCTAGATGATATATATATATATATATATATATATATATATATATATATCTACTCATTCCAAGAGAGAATCCAATATGATCAATCGTAGCAAAGTTTTCATCTAATTTGCCAGGGAAAAAGTCAGACAAATGATAAATTGGATCTCTGACCTTGAACTGGTCTTTTTCTTGTTATAGGAGTACACTGGAAGTGGAACCGTGGTGAGAGGGTATGTGCCCCTCCGTTTGGCAAGGATTCTCACCCCAATGGGGCATATGTGTGTGTCATAATATCTTCCCCTCGTCATGTTTCTGATTTTGTTTTGACAATTCACAGTTTGTGTACATAAAACAGGAACGAGTTTCCCTGAAGGTTGTGCATATGAATTTTTCAGACCTTTGCTTCTTTTGTCAGTGTGTATTCTTAGATCCGGTCAAAGTGTGATACATATTTATCTGTTTTGCAGATATCAATTTACGCGTGTATACGTTATCTGTTTGAGTTGGTCAAGTGCCTTTTTTTAAAACACAATCCATTGACTTCATTATATCTGGTGCATTTAATTAAGCTTAGTTTTAGACTTTTAGTAGAATTTGAGTGAACCAAATGAATCTAGATTCTAGATGCATATATTAAAGTACTTTTTGCATAATAATTATTAATGTACTAATTGCAAATTAATCTAGACATAAAAATTACTTGTAAAGTTAATTTAGCTTCTGAAAGCCTCCAAACTCCAAAGTACTCCATCCGTCTCCGGTCTCCCTAACTTTGTCCCGTTTTACTTTTATTGTCCGTCTCATTAAATTTGTCTCATACCATATTTGGTAATATTTGAGTGGTTACAATTCATTCTTACTTTATTCACATTTTATCAATTCAATATCAACCACACAATTCTACTTTTTCTTAAAAATGACACCACTCCTCTTTGTCCCAAACTTAATGGGACGGAGGTAGTATCAATTATACCTTGGAAAATGCTACGTATACATGTTTTTGTGTATGCATTTTGAATGCATCGGTGGCAATTTGTTTGTATCGAAGTCAATTCGTCTAAAAATATAAAAATTATTTGTAATTTTATATTAAATGTCTGTGGCATAGACCAAATGTGAAGTGTATACAAATAAATAAATAATATGTACATCTAGCATTGTTGTTATACACAATTCTCATTTATAAAATTGATCAAAACATGTCATTTTCATTAAGAAAATAGGACTGATTAAAATCTACCTACGTTCCTACGTACACACATGAACAATAATGCGCACAAATATTTGCCGGATGAGCAATGTTTAAATATTTCTAGGAATAACTTTTTAATATTACCATTGTCCCCTGCGATTGGGATATGAGGTACTGATGCGATTACTAATATAATAAAAGTAGTATTATATGGTTTGTATTGAATTGCTAAAAAAATACTTTAAAACCATACAAATTTGACAAGACATGACATGAGATAAACTTAATAGTATGAATCAAAACGAAACATGAGATGTAGCCGGCAAGTTGGTGGGACTACTGTGGGAGTATGAAATATGCAGTGTGATACATATAACATATAAAATAACTTAAAAGTAAAGAATGATAAAATAAATTTGCATTTCAAAATGAGAAATATAAATGAATGGATGATTTTTTCTGCCAGCAAATAACTAGATTAAAAATAAAAACATAATAATCAATTAGTCAAGACACTAATTTGGATATGAAATATAGTTACATGTGTATTATCACGTGAATGAAAGATGAGACATGAAAACTAAATAATTGGGGGCCAGATGTGTAGAAAGAGGAATAAGAAAACTCCTTCCTTGATGACATATACCCATAGTAGCACCAAGCCAGACACAACAAAATGGAATTGGAATATCAACAACAACAAACCCTCCCATACTGACTAGCCAGTTGCCACACCTTCAGGTGGGACAAGAACATAAAAAACATTACTAATAGCTTCTCTTGGTCTTTTTTAATCATTAAAAATTTACAAATAACTTTTCCCATTGTTCAAACTATCTGAGATCACAACATTCCTCTTTTTAGAGTTCATGGGGCAGGTGGAGCTGGAGAACTCTTGATTCAAAACAAACAATGACTAAAAAGGTTCACAAACAAGTAGAGGGTTTGGTAAGAGAGTGGTTATATAAACACATATACACACATTAAACCATCCACCACCCACAAAAAAGAAAAGCTTAGTTATATCTGAAGCATTCCAGCTAGCCTAGCTAAGCTTTCAACAATGGCCACCCTTCTGAAAGGTTTCTACTATAGCAACCTCATTGTAATGATGATGGCTGTTTGCTCCCTTGCACATCCCGGTCTTTCTCCATTCTTCTACGGCTTCTCGTGCCCGCAAGTTAACCACATTGTCATGTCTGTCTTAGAGAGAGTGATTATCGAAGACCCGAGGATGGCTGCCTCTTTGCTCAGGCTTCACTTCCATGACTGCTTTGTCCAGGTACACACTAACTTCACCTCTTTGCATGTTATTCGGCGTTTATGAAAGCGAATGATTTTCTCCTTTGGTGGGAACTAGGGGTGTGATGCATCGATATTGCTCGACAAGACGTCGACGATGGCTAGCGAGAAAGACGCTGCACCTAACAAGAACTCCATTAGAGGATTTGAAGTGATTGATGAGATCAAAGCTAAGCTGGAGCAAGTATGTCCTCACACAGTTTCTTGTGCAGACATTCTTGCTCTTGTTGCCCGGGATTCCACTCTTATTGTAAGAAATTATAAACTTTAGTTCAAACGTTATACTTGTGTTATAGTTGGGGTTTCTTGGAGGCCATGGAGGGTACAGAAGAAGAGGACTGGTTTTCTATTTCCCAATTTACCTTTGGATATAATGACTATAATACATTGAGAAATGTGATTTTCATTCTATGGAGCATGATTATGTTCAGATTTACTGAACATGATCAGTATACAGTCTACTCATAATAAAAGTCCTACATGTTATCAGTATCAGCTTACTGCATGATATCAATATATTTATATTTTTGTTCATAGGCTCTATTTCTTTTTCATAAAAAAAAGGCTCTATTTCTTTAATATATTGGTAAACATCCTAGTTTGTTAACATCAACTGTTACTTTATTATAAATATTGAATTATAACATGAAACTACTTAATTCGTTCCTTGCCAAAAAGCATGAAACTACTTTTGAACAATTACTATCAAAATGTATATGTTGTTGAAATGATCATCGATTACATGTTCTGTAACAATATTGTTGTAAATAATACTACGCAATAGTTAAAAATGGACACTGAGTATACAAAGTAAAAATCATCTTTACCTAGGGGCGGCTAGGAGTAGGGTAATATACTACTCCCTCCGTCCCATTTTGGTTGTCTTACTTTCCTTTTTGGGTTGTCTTACCATTTCACTTTACTCTACTAAAATCTCAACCACAACTTTTACTTTTCAACTACTTTATTAATAACCGTGCCAAACTAAAAGAAGATATCCATTATGGGACAGAGGTAGTAATATATTTCGTTAAAGAATGTATATCAATATAATTTTTCATTTTTGCCAAGTTAAAGTAACCAAACCTTCCCGAGTGTATGATGTTGTTCTATTATATAGCAATTGATTCTGAAAAAGACATGTTGTACAGGCCATGTGCACACGTCCAAATTGTCAGTGCCACAGATAATATTGGTCAGTTTTTAAGTCAAATTGTTTGTGATACTGACAAAATTTGGAGAAAAAGATTGTCGGTATCACGGGCAAATTTTTCGTAGTATCACTCTTCTCTTGATTTGTCTTAAAAACCGACCAAATGCATCACTGACTCAGACAACTTGGGCGCACATACTCAAATGATTTACAGACACAGACGTGTACTTGAAGTAGCTTTGATTGATTTTAGCATGGAATCTTATTTACACATGTAGTTTGTGTTATAAGGATGTGCTATCCAAACTGACCCAAACCATCCAAATTTTATGTTGAGTAATTATGATCCTAATTAAAGAGCTTCACTGTCATTGTTGTGTGGCTGTTTACCAACAGAGTGGGGGACCTTATTGGGAAGTGCCTTTAGGAAGGAGGGACTCAAAAACAGCTAGCTTCCAGAAAGCTATTGCTAATATTCCCGCGCCTAACTCCACCATCCAAAACCTCATAACACTCTTCAACCGCCAAGGCCTTAACGAACAAGATCTCGTGGCTCTTTCAGGTACCAATTTTATCTCATCCCAGCCCCTAACAAATTTTCTCTTTATCACTCTTGGTCAGGGCCATCATTTCACGGTATACTGTCATGTTTAAAGCCTCTAATGGAGTATAAAGGAACAAAGACTCTTTGGTTAGCGGATACAATTTTGGAAACAACTACTCCGCATCATTTCACAGTATACTGTCATGTTTAAAGCTTGATAATGTAAAATATGACAACATACTTTCAAGATGAAGTAACGCAACCCTATTTATGAGAAAAAGCATAGGATTCTTATTTTGGAATTCAAAAACATTTTTATTTCTGCTTCAAGAATTTTCCCATTGTCTTTCCAAATTCATTTCTTGTGTTAATTCATATTTAGTGAATTTTTCCTTTTATGTTTTTGAATCCATTTCTGGTGTAATGCAGGCGGGCACACCATCGGAGTGGCGAGATGTGTTACATTCAGGCAAAGGTTGTACAACCTAAATGGTGAGAAGCAATCAGATCCAACTCTTGAGAAGACATATTACAACAACCTCAAAGTATCATGCCCAAGAACTGGCGGAGATAACAACATTTCTCCACTGGATGTCACTTCTCCTCTCAAGTTTGATAACTCCTACTTCCAACTGCTGCTCTCACGCAAAGGGCTTCTCATCTCTGATGAAGCCCTTCTTACTGGGAATGTGAAGAAGTCAGTTGACTTGGTCAAAGCCTATGCCAATGATGAGGCACTATTCTTCCACCACTTTGCCAATTCTATGGGTAAAATGGGAAACATCAATCCTCTCATTGGTCTCAAGGGTGAAATCAGACACAACTGTCATCATGTCAACTGAACAGGATGGTGTGATTGTTTGTGTAAGGGAACATTTGGGCTCTATATGTGGATTTAACTAACAACTTTTATTATGTATGATATTGTGGGCTATCATTTGGTAATTAAAATTCTTAGTTATTATGACTACTTTATGTTTTGTGCGAAATTGCAATATCCACAATGTCTAAACACAAATTGGCTAAACATCATTAAGAGCGTTTGGTAACTTTTATCTGGCTTAATAGTCTTTTTTTTTATATTTCATGTGATGAGTTGCCTAACAACCAAAACGAAAGCTACTTTTTTATTAAATGTTTTCGAGTATAATTATTTCTGTTTTTTTATTTCATTTTATTATTTTTTTTGACAGGAAAATTCGCCTTATATTAATATCATTAGAAATGGGATCGTTACATGAAACACATAAAGACCACTAACACCAACTATTCTCCACCCTCAACGAAAGCCAACCCTACGAATAGACATAGTAACGGTCAGTCGGTCACCCCAGAAGGAGCAACACGAGTCGCTAGACGTGTAGCGGGTTTAAACCAGTTATAACTAACTAAGAAGATCCCCAACCATCTAACTGTTGGGCCTATCTCATTTATTCCCTCCTATGTGATTATAGCCCAATTGATGGAGACTCATTAAGTCATTTGACTCTTCACTTAGTCAAAGGATGTATTCTGCAAAATAGAACTTGTGGTCAAGGAAGACATTAGCCAACAGAAAAAGATAACAGATAAAGGAGAGATATTTTCTGGGCAGAATTTTGCTGCTCGCCCAGCTTCAGAGAAATCGCGATTGGGAAGGCATCCGTGGTCAGATTATGCAGAAATTTTGACTGGAGGTTCCCAAGACACATAACTAAATTCTGAACGGTGGAGATTGGATTTTGACGGTCAAATCGTCTGGAATCATCTCCGAACAGACCTGCAGTTTTTAGGGTGATTTCAATCCTTGTTCATCCTCTTTGTATTTTTGTTGAAGTGTTATATTTCTTGAGCTGTTGTACCATCATATTTGATGTTTGGAGACTCTCTTGTACTCATTCCTTGTTGATTAGTGAAGAGTTTGGGTGGACGGAGGTCCCGTGGTTTTTTCTCTTCGATTTGGAGGGGTTTTCCACGTAAAAAATCGTGGTGTTCTGTGTGTGCTTGGTTTCATTTCATTTTACAACTTTCTCCATATATATTTTTGATGCCATTCATTGCTACCTGCTCTTAAATCGGGATCCTGTGATTTTCTTGCAAGCTTGGGAGAATTCTTGTCAAGTATATTTGGACTGTTTTGGGTTTGTGGTTGAATTACTTTCACAGGCAGTGTTTTTCTTCCCTACACTAACAACATAATACTTGGCTGAACTCCTCGTCCCCTTACCTAAACAAGCAACAATGACTACAAGAATGAAATTGAAAACAAAACAAAACCCAAGAAATCGAAAGAACAAATTGGACATAAAATAACAAGTAATAACTAATAAAATATTCCTCCGAACCCTACTCGCGCAATTCCTCCATGACGGCGGTTAAGGAGGGGGACGAAGCTTCTTCATGTCATATTCTTCCTCCACCACCTGAGGCGGCCAGATCACGCGTGTCAATCCGCCAACCACCTTGTTATATTTCCTTATTTATTTATAACAAATATTCTTTAAATGTTTCTTCTTCTTCTTTATTCGGTAGATTCAACCAATTAAATCGTTTCAGTGATAACTTAAACAATTTCAATCGACTCAGCGATGCATATATGTTCTTTATAATGTCTATTAAAAACCTGAATTAGTAGGATTCCGTTTGCATTTTGATTTAGAGATTGTTTGATAACATTGAAATTAATTAATTGACTCAATTTGCTGAAATTAATGAAATTCTATGTGAAACGCCAAACGCTTGAATTAACGAATCAACTAAATTATGAAAAACTTAGGTAATACTACTACTACTACTATCCGACCCCGTTTGGACTTCACCCCTGATTGTGGTATACTTTGATATTTGTACTAGAATATTTTCCCATAAAGCCAAATACATATAGGGGGTGTTTGTATTTTGGCGGATCGGAAGCAATCCGCTGCAAAAAGCACCAGTTGCTGTAGTAAAAAATCGGCAGTTTGGGATAAACCGCTAATACCCAAACACCCCCATAATCTCTACCAAGTGTATTTTCATATGGTTGTTAGAGTCTAACTTTAAGAACATTTTATATTGGGAGGAAATAATTCAAATACCCCAAACTTTGAAGAAATGTGAGATAAATATCTCAAACTTGCGTGTGTAATTTCAATACCTCAAACTCTACATAAAAAGTTATTTTAGCACCATGTCATGTATAAATTTAAAATTTATGATCATTTAATTTATGGTGAAAATTATATGATCATGGTGCTAACATAGCTTTTTATATAAAGTTCGGAATATTAAAATTACATATGCAAGTTCGGGGTATTTACCTCACACCCTTTCAAATTTGGGGTATTTTAATTATTTTTACCTTTATATTGATTCCCTCTGTTTCAACAATTGTCATGTATGGAAGTTGTTTTCATCACAACCACCGCCTTGAATAACACTATAGCCTCCAACTGTTGTGTTTGGAGAGACCAGATCGAATTCATTGCCATTAATCTTGATTTGTCAAGCTATATCTCAACTATTCAATTCGCAGCCATAAAAATAGATGATGGTAAATTCATTATCAATCATTTCATACCATTGGTATCGACTATCAACAAGATTGGACTATCATGAGCACTCATTATCATTCATCATTATCATTACCCCAATGGCGCAAAAGATCTCACCTACGGTGGGGTAAGGGGGATCGGATGTACACAGTCTTACCCCTGTATTACAGCACACATAGACTGTTTTCGGATGACCCATAGTACTATCATGAGCACTATGCTTGATAAATACTCCAATGTTACCCTACAAGGCTACAAGCCATCTATCACGCTATTATTGTGTGTATTTATGGTATACATCAGTCAATTAGAATGATTCTAGGGGGACACTTAAAGAGTACCTTAACGAAGCTCATAATCTTGCTAATCAAGTAGTATTCCTTCATGATCTCTTACCCTATAAGTATGTCTCTAACGGAGATGTCATTGCCACTATCATCAACAAGGGCGGAGCCAGGGCATGCACTAGGCCGGTTACACCGTTACAAATTTGATGATGAGTACGTACTACAAAATTGCTCCTTTATTCGTTTTTGTTCCGAAAAATGTCTCAATATTAGAATTTGAACACATCAACTCCGAGAAAGAACACACAACAACACAATGCCATGTAGGCTCACCAGAGGTTACTCCTGGCCACTACTAAAAAAAAAAAGACATTGGTGGTTACCATGGAGCTCCTATACTATACACCCGGGTGTACGTACATCCGGTCCAATTAAAGAGAGTCCAATTAAGTTATGAAACCCATAAGAAAAGGCCCAATGTTATCTCAGAGCAAGCGATCAGAACTTCATAATCTACTGCCAAACTCCATTTGCCGATTATCTTCTCCTACGAACGCGACACCATCATCTTCTCCAGTACTGCCCCAATTCTGGCATACGGAGTAATATCTTTGTTCTTGACAATGACATACGGAGTAAATCTTTACACGCTAATGACGGTGGAAGTCAAAATTCCAGCTGCCAACTACCTGAGATCCAATACAAGCCTATATTTTCTCTTCTTCAGAATTATTCTCCGACCTCCACGGCTCCATGATAAGTCCGTATTTAGACATGCATTTGATGCGTGTTGAGATCGGATTTTGATGGTTTTCCAAGCTTTAAGGTGTTACAAGTCTCAATTTTAGCTCAAGTTATGTTTAACAGGCGTTGGTTCGAGTTTTGTGTCATTTGGAGTCAAAATCAGGATTTTAGAGTTCGGCACTGACGCTTGAGGAGAAATCGGTATGATTTGAGAAGCATTTGAGATTGAATTGAGATCTTTGGAGGTCACCGGCCAGGAGGTTCACGATGAAGATTTGAAGGAAAAAGAGCTCTAGGGTTGGCTTCGGGATCAAAAGAAGATGAATGAAGCTTGAAAACGACGATCAGAATGACCGTCTATCAATCGTTCAAGTATATCTCTTTGTAGGAACAACCGATGGACACGATTCAAGTTTTATATGAAAGCCAACTTCAAGGGCTACAAATCATATGAAGACATCATTCCGAGAATCGGAGAGGATCAAGGAGAAAACAGACGATGAAGTCGTATGATCTCTGTTGCGATTTCAGAATGACACCTTCCACCATTTTGATCATATCTCTTGATTGGATGATTCAAATCCAATTCGGCGAATTGGGGTAGATAGAGGACTTCATTATCTACAACTTTCATGAAGCAAGTTTTGTCAAATTCGGAAGTTTGACGCACGCCGTGCGTAGGGGAAGAACACGCCGTGCGTGTGAGGCGAGAAAGGAAGAACACCACTGCCATGTATGCATGATCGTGCGTGGGAACGCGGATTTCAGCCCCTTTTTAGTCCCAGTTCAGCTCAAACTCATCTGTTTTCTATAAATAAGACCACCATACCCATATTTTGACGTTACGAACATTACGGAGAGGCCTAGGGACGAATTTAACATCGTTTTTACGCTATTTTCTTCCAAGACCCTGGGATTATTTGTAAGTTCATCTTTTTAATTAATGACAATTTATTCTATTCATCACAATTCTCTTGATTCTTCAATTATGAATTGTGAGTAGTTTAATTAGGGATTTGAGGTTGATGAATGGGTTAATCACGATGTATGGCTAGATTCTTGTCGCTTTAATTGCATGAATGCCGTTTAATTTGTGTTTGAATAATTTAATTGATATCTCTTATAACCTAGACTACAGCTAGAATTACAATTGCATATAGAATGAATTAAGAGATATCTAATTTGTTCTAGGACACATTCAAACACACTTAATCGTTCGCTAAGATATTAGTAGCGATTAAGGGGTCGTAAGCTCGCTCGTTTTTGCAATAATTTAGGATCCTGTCGCATGAGAGATCAGCCTAGTCCCCTAAATTATTGTACTCTACGCCACGAGAGCGGTAAGAACTTAGTAATGATTAGCTAGGCTCAAATTAAATTAATTTCATGTAATTAGGCCTGATCTGCCAGAAATCTGGTTACCCCGGAATCCATCCCTGTTCCCTTTGTCGTTAATTGAGAAGAACCCAAGCTTTTATTTTATTGTTTAGTAGCAT